CCTTGCCGATGATGTTTATGACTGGTGAACCAAACAGAATTCGCACTCGGGTAAGCCAGTCTCAGGTTACTTTTTCCGAACCTAATTAGGCTATTCTATGGAATCTTTCTGAAGTTTTTTCCACAGCGAACACACCGACCGACTAAACACGATCAAACTGAGTCCACCCGACTTAGGCTTAGGTTTGTTCCCATGCAACTAACGCAGCTATAAATGCACTCATGAATGGGGAGGATAGAAAGAGAGAGAGAGAGAAAATCCTGTAATATTTAACTGAAGTAGGAGTTCACAAAGTCAAGTGGGTTCCGCTCAGTATGAGAATGGATAATACCATCGAGGGCGTGAAACTTGGGCGGTCAAGTTACTGTTGAGCAGCTGAATTGAGTTCGGTTTATTAACTGTGTGAAGCTAGACCCTTTCCATAATGCATATGCTGAGAGGGTTCCTCCTCCACCCTCGAGACACAGGTAGCCAGCAATAGATAAAGGTGCCATAGGTGAAAATAATTTTACACACAATAGGACGTGATTTTAACCTCTTGTGATACTTTACCAAGCCTTTGGGTGGGGACTTGAGCCTTGTGTGACCACGAATCTCTCTCCCCTAACTAACAACCAAAGAGCAGATTTTCTCACCATCTGAGTTGTGGTTTTAGGAAATCAGCCTAGTCGTTGCTCAAGATGTTCTGCTGATCAACACGACCGCTGAAATCTGGACGATTAATTCAAGTGGATTTCCTGACACATACCCCCGTTTGCTTCTTTGGTGTTCTGGAGGTCAGTTGCCGTAAGTTTTCAAGCAAATGTAGGGTTGTGACAAAACGGTGAGCAGAACGTTTTATGTTACTACTAAGCCTCATTGGTATGCTGACACGTTTCCCCAGTCACAGATTGTTTGCAAATTTAAATCAATTTAAAGTAAGCTTTGTGTCACAAGGTCACGAATTATCAGCAATCACAGAACGAATGAGTTAATCATGGATTAACGAATACACCAAAAGTTTGAAAATTCCGCTGAAAACTTCGAAAGCCCACGACTAATTTCGCCCTTCTCCAGGATCATCAGGTAGGCGCAGTACACGATTTTCCGTCAACCTTGTGTTCGATTTGAACCCAAACTGGACTGATTTCGACAAATACACTCATAAACGAGAGTCATTTGAGTCTCCCATGAAAATCAAATTGCTTTGTAAAGTGTATTTGTGTATTTGTGGGAACCAAATACTTGTTTCAAACTCATACGCAAGGAAGAAAATGCGCTCTAAACAGAGCATAGGTGTAATGGCCGTGCAATAGCCACAAATATGAATCTAACTTGGGGTACATGTTGGACGTCGGGGCAGATTTGAGCTTTGAATCGGATGAGTTTGAGGTGATTAAATGGTTAAATGGAAAGAGTTCTACGTAGCGCCATGTCATTGATTAGCCCACCGAGGGCTGTCTTCGTAAAACCAACACGCTTGGATACTAATCGATCAACGCACAATCTCTCTTAGTTAAGCCCGAAGAACTATATTCAGCGTGTATAGATGTTTCCGGTGACCATTTCAATGACACAGTGGCGCAAAAGAGAGAGAGATATACTTATCTGCTAAAGTGATTAAGCAGAATTATGTTGCACCTATCTAGAGAGTTATATAACGTGCCTAAAATAAGAAAGGCGATTGAAACAGTGGCTAATAGAAATGGCATGAAAATCTCCATGCGACGAATGTTTACAAAAATACGAAGACCAAAATGAAAACACATACTCTTGTGTGTCCAAAATAAAAGAATACCAGTAGTCGGACTTCAGTCCGGTTCGCTCTGCTCTAAACGGTGGGACGAAAGGATTAAGCGATCACCTAATAAGTAGATCGTGAATGTCCAAAGGCAGACCAAAACTTGTTCAAATCCATTTTAGTTTCCTTGCTTTTCAGTATGCTTTTCCGAACGAAATTAGAGGTAGAAGATGCATATACTCGGGTGAAAATTCAGAGGACCTCTGTTAGGAAGAACTGTTATGCGGGTGATTCCTCGGTTAGCCTGTATCATATCTGTGGATATACACATAAAGTAAATCTGCCACGGAAGAGGACAGGATGTCGCACCGAGTATAAGATGGTTGAGTAAAGGATGATCACCGGCAAGTTTGACGGAAAAAAGACTTTTGGAGAGCCAACTCTAGGGGGAAGAGTGGGTTTATTTTTGTAGCAATGCTCAAGCTGGACCCACTACCAAACATTTCTTTCAGATGAGCTGTTTTTTTTTGTAATACCACTTGTTTCCTAGGCTTGTTTCAAGGTAGGGACGTTCTAAGAATGGGTGCTGGTAAATTTTCCGAACTCTCCTTCTGCACTCACTATTGTAAATCCGTTCTTCTTATTGCCAAGGCGATTGGAATAAGCTGAGGAAGAGTCTCTTATATACATATATAGTTATCTATTATATATATATATATATGTAATCAACCCCGTCATCTGCCTTTTGGGCGACGTATTGAGTAATGCATTTTACATAACTGCAATGCACTGAGTGTTCTATATCAAACGAACAAAGAAAAGTCAGTAAAAAAACATCATATCCTTCACAATCACACCAAATTTAAAGGCGACAACATAAAAAAGTTTTCTTCTGTGATATAAAAAGATCAGTTGGCGCTGTTTTCTGTGTAAACTGTGGCATGTTCCGTTCAGCGGATTTGTATGTGACTTCACACTCGGCTGTGGATCTGTGATACATAAAATAGCATGTAACAACTATCAACCTTCGAGAAATACTCTCATTCGCAAATCATTTTGGTTGTCACGGGAGACTCAACTGAATCTCTCGTTTATGATATTCCACAGCTAATGTGCTGCACACAGGCTGCCTCATGATTCGGTTGACACGATATTCGAGATATCGCAGTATGTTTTCACAAAGGAGGAGCCCCAAGAAGGGTGAAACCGGCGGTGGGCTGTCGAAGAGGTTTCAGGAACCTTGTATGTAGTTTCCTCCATGAAAACTATGGACCCTCTTAAGCAACTTTAGGTTTGACCTACACAGATTTTAACGGATGCATCGTCTCGCTTTACAACACCTTGTAAATCTTGATATTGCCCGAATTAATATGTTCGATCAAATTAAAAACCTGGTGGATAACGTTACTTCTGAGAGAGCTACTGTTCATGTATTTGTGGAGCCCTCTAAATTGACAAGTTACTATATTATTCTGTTCGAGACCACAAAAAGGGGTTTTGAGGAGGCCAACGTACGGCAGTATAAGCAGCTTAGCTGTTGTCACGATAACGCGCCTCGACGAATTGAGTCGGTGTGAGCAATGACACCCGATCTCAGTGGCATGTGACAGATGAAAAATATTAGAGTTACAGAGGAAGAAGACGATTTGAGATGGGACAACTTTTGCAACTCCATAATCGTCTGAAAGTAAGAGTCATGATATAGGTAGTGATGGAATGACTGAGGTAGATTGCCTACTGTCAAATGTAGGTGAACTGCTAATACCACGCAAGTTCAAATGACAAGTGTTCATTGTTTTATTTTTGTTAACTGACCTGGGAACCGTGACCAATTGTTGCCTATTCAGTTTAGCCATGTCATCTTTTTGCAATTTTGCTTCAACAAAACCGTCTTTCTCCTTCAGGGGCTGTTGTGTATGACTTTTTGCATGGTTCCACTTCCGGAGGCTGGTTTTGTAGGAGCAGACTTCCCTTTCTGAGGTTTCTCCGTTTGGAGTCTTTCATGCAAATCTGAATGAAACTAAGGTGTTAAGCGATTTGCGCTCAGAAACAACCAGTGCACATCTCGGACGCCATAGCAACTACAATTTCAATGAAACCTTCCTCTTCATTTGATTAGCAGTATGTCTCAAAATGGAAAAAATTTTCGGGTGTTGAATTACTGGTTGCTCAAAAATATATGAATTTGACCTTAGTAAATGTAGTCATGAGTAAGTGATGGGAAATCGGTCGACGATTTCAACAACCGTTGAATAATCAAAGCTTAAATTCAATTACCAGTTGTTCGCATTGTGAGCAGATTTGGAGCTCATGTTCCCTAAGTGAAGCCAGTCCGTTCCTAAAAACCGAAAAGCACTGTGGCTGTTTTTTATTGGGAGATCACCAGCAGGGCGCACCTCAGCGGAGCTATATCCTGTTCATTTGAGATTTGAGCACACTGCTCATCAGTCGCTAGTGGCCGCATAGTTAACTATTCAAATTGCTAGCCGGGAGGTCGCGGGTTCGGGAATCCGTGGACTTTCGTGAGGTACGCACTGCCAATGATTCCCAATAGAAATGAAACAGCTGTACAGTACTTCCGAAGGAATCATCAATTTAACTAATCCCATGAGCACGTGCGTGTGTATATATATGTCACTTGATATGAAGGCAAGTGGTCACGTTGAGTAACGGCCAACAGCTGTGACTGTTAACAGAATCAGTACTTGACCGATCTTGTCAGAACAGTGACAGGCTTGATGGATCATCTTTTCGGGATTGACACTGTTCTGAGCACTTCGGTCCTGTGTCCATCGTGAGCACTATGCAGCCACAGCTCAGCCCATCGGTCCACAGTCCAGTCCTCAGTAGACGTTAGTTTACTGAGCCTTATGTGTGGAAATTCTGGTCAGTCTGTTTTCGATAAATGACGGACAAACGTACTACAGAAATGCACAAGGTCGTCGCTCTTGGTCGATACACTATTGTTATCTGGGGATAACTGAAACCTCAGTAAGTCGCTCACCCCCACGCCACGTCCAGAACATCGATGAAGCTCTGAATAATCGGCCAATCCAGATGTTTGAGCAGCAGTCGGTGAGCGCTTGCTCTCTCTCTAACCTCTTACCATCTCATAGCATCCAGACCGACTACCCCTCCCAGGAATTATAACTGCGATGGGCGTTGACCAATAGGCTGAGCTGTGGAAATTTCGTTCCCGACCGCCCACCTTTTGAATGAGCTTGCAACGCCAAAAACGACAATTCTGGGCGATTTACTGACAAGGCATAATTACAAAGCCATGTTGTTGCCGATCAAAGTTATGTGCTGTGCCGGATGTACCAAACCGATTTGGGATCGTTTTTTGGCTTCAATCGACGGTGAAACTTGGCACGAAGACTGCGTAAAGTGCAGCATATGCTACTGTACCCTAACCAGTTCATGTCACATAAGAGATGGGAAATTATATTGCAAATATGATTATTTGCGGTAAGTCAAGTATATCTGAACCAAAGAACGCGTCGGTCATAGACATCATCTTTGAAGATTTTATATGTCTCTGCGTTTGAGTATGTGAGATAGTCGTCTAATATAGTTGAAAGTATTAAGTTGAAAAAACGCTACCATATCACTTCGCTTCGTCAGTAGTGGACACAAAAGGCGAGCAGAATCATGAAAGGTAACACACTGTTCCCAAGGCCGCTGAAAAATCTTCGACAACCCACGACCGGTTTCACTCTTCTTGGGTCTCATCAGGTAGGCGTAGTCCCCGGATATTCCTTAACCTTATTGTACCACATGAAACCAAATTAGACAGAAACCGGTAACTATTCTCATTTTCACACAAACTTTGCTTTGACCCGTTTGATCCCAGCCGAATCCAGGTGATGTTTATGGGCTGTCGAGGAGCTTTTAACAACCTTGTGAGTAGACAGTGTATTGCGATAACTGGAAGTGTACCGACTGAGCATGAGGCGGCCTGGTGCAGCACATTTCGTTGAAGAAGGCCATCATGAAAAAGAGAGGGTAGTTGCGGAATGAATTCACAACGTTTTACACGGGGGGAGGTTGTTTGTAGTGTGAAGACAACCTTCTGATCAACACATTGTCTGAGCACAGTGTCAACTGCCCATTGCTGATCGCTTTTAATTACCAACGTGTTGGTAGTTCCTGCTTTGATTGCGGAAGAAGGGTGAGAAGGAACTACAGTGGTACTCCTAACAACTTTCCCAATATTTGTGGATACCGGAATGCTCGTAGTAGAATGCACTGCGTGCAGCTGATGCTCAAAAGCTCATAAAGTCTTTTTGGAGGGTGTCGCATAGATATGTGTGACAGATGACGGTTCGTCCCGCACTCACTTGTGAATGGAATCGCTACTTGGTTGATAGATTCAGCGGACTGATTTGACTAATTTAAACAATTAGCCTAGAGTACGAAATTGCTGTAGCTTGATATATACCTTAATTCCAACAGTGTACTTGTGTGAGAGGGTTTTGGACATGCCTATTGCCAACGAAAGAGAACGGGGTACCAGCGTGACACTAGTTTCACTTGTCCGTCGTGTTCTGTGCGGCAAATGAGTCTTGATTCATGCTACTATCGGTGGCTTGTGATAATGATGAGACTGCTAGGGTGTCTAACTCTGAAGAACTAAATAGTCGCGGACGTCGACGGGGGGAGTTTCGGCTCAAACTCCTCAGTCTTGAGCTAAAGGATCGAGAAGATTCTTGGCCCCAACTGTATCAAGTCAATAGGGAAACGATATAAAAGCTAAGCAGTCTCGTGGCTATTGAGGTACAAAAACCGTATAGCTACAAAATGGCTGAGCCTCTTCGTGACGGCCGGAACCTAACTCCGCAAGTTGTCAAAATCCATTACTACAGCGTCTGCAAGGTGTATAGATTTCATGCAACCGAAAGGAATGGTAACACTTTCTGTATCAGAACAGAAGCAAATGAATTAGAACAATTAACAAAAATGCTGAAAAGTCCTAGGCTATCTTAGCTTCTTTTTATTAGCAATATGCATTCTGTGTTTTCTAGACTCTGTGATCCCAGTTGACGGACTAAACGCTACCACAATCATAGATGAATTCATCTATTATTGGTTTCTCAGCCTTGATGTTCAAGCTTACCTGTTCAAGGCTTCCACTGTAATATATACCTGTGTTTTCGTGGGATGGACTTTCCCTTACCTATAAAAGCATCACAAAAGCGTGTGTGGAATTCATCACAGGCACCATACGAGGTTCGTGGTTGCGAAAATCCAGCTTCAACTGTTGGCATCAATGTCCAATTAACCATTGGCAAACCACACTATGAAAATATACTGCGATATCTCGAATATCGTGCCAAGTGAATCATGATGCGGCCTGTGTGCACCAAATTCAGCTGGAGCACATTATAAACAAGAGGTTCAATTAAGTCTCCCGTGAAAAACAAATTGATTTGCAAATGAGTGTGTTTCTCCAAAACAGTGCAATTTGGGTTCAAGTAGATCATAAGGTTGACAGAAACTCGGGGACTGCGCCTACCTGATGAGCCCCAAGAAGGGCGAAACCGGTCGTGAGCTGTCGAAGTGTTTTCAGTAACCTCGTGAGTAGTTTCCTTTATGAAAACACTATACTCAGTTTGAATTAGGTTTATAGGAACTTTGAAAAGTTTTGATACTCTACTTGACCATGAGAGGATAGCGGACCAAGTGGAATTTCTTCTATGAACTTGAATCGTGCGTAAGTGGCGATGCGAATATAGTCGAATTGATATTTATGTGCGAGTATCACACCAGACAGACTTTCGGTCGGATAGAATTTCAGATATACCTGGTGCACCTGGTAGTGCACTTAGGTTGTTTAGAAAGTACTTCGTTAGTGGATCACATACAATGATTGCTTTGAGTGCTTATGTTCTTCAGGTTCAGACTGCGGAATTTTAGGTGAGCTTAGGACATTTTGAACAATGGAATTAGTTTCATTTAGCCTGGGGGACGGCCTTACTCACTCGGCAAAAGTGCTTTCCGTGGTGAGGTTCTTCAAATATTGTCCACATTAGTCAGTCATATGATGCAGCAGATGCAAGCGCTACCAAGGCTTGACGCTTAACTACCCGTGTCTGATACAGAACAAGCCAAGTGACGAACACACCTGAGTCACTTACGTAATAAAGCGAAAATTTTAGAGGATTGTTGAGGAGTGGGAAACCAATAGGAAAGCAAACACTTACGAATCCTGGCCAACGGCGAATTCGCAGGGAGGCGAATTGTCAGGAGGCTGTTACGAAAGGGTGACGAGACGAAAAACGTTGGAAAACTCAGACGATAGCCGCTGATATCTCGGCACATGTTAGAAACTTTTTGGATGATTTTGTTCTAGTCCCTTTTGCAATAAATATTTCCGTTGTTTAACTACTGAAAACAATCATTCATGTATCCTGCGGCAGTTAGAACGAAGTCTAATTGTCCCAAACAATAACAATCTCGACTTCCTCAGTATATGACCACCACATGGCCTTCGTAGGTGATTTAGCTGAGTTGGAGTTGTTAGGATTCGTTTTACTCACTCTGCGAATTGTTAAGAGGATGCTAACAACCCCACAGCCCTTCGAAGGGCGCAAACACCAGTACACTTTCAGGGATCCATGTCTTAGAAAACTTTCTTCCTTTAATACGTTGAGATTCTTTGATTTTCATAATAATGTTGCGGAAAAGTGCTATCTGATGAATCATCTCCTCTGTACAGGTGTTTCGGAATCCAATGCGTCGGGTGCGATCAACCCATCTTCCCTAATCAATCAATGTTACACATCCCGGCGGGTCCTTTGGAGATCACACAAACTGACATCTCAATCAACTCCCCATCAGACCTCAGCAAACCTGTCAGTTCAATGAACTCCGAGCAACAAACGACCTCAGTTAAACAAAATAGTCTACATTTTCACGAACTTTGCTTTGCCTGTTGCGAATGTGGCCGAATTCTTTGCCCGGGAGAATTGCATACAATGCGCGGATCTTTGCCCTTATGTCTACCCGATTCACAAAGACAGTTCCGGTCACATTCAAGCACTTGCCCCGGTTGTTCAACTTGCACGATGGACTACGAGTTAGGCTATTTAGGGCAGAAGGGGGTCCAGCCTGAAGCGCCCAATCCTGAGCATATCGGACTGTCTGCTACATCTGAATCTTTGCAATGCTTTCATCTTGGTTTCATGTCTCTGGTGAATTTGATGAAACCGAGTGATCAACAAGAGTTCAGTGAGGGTTACTTTTTGGAAAACCGTCGTTGTGCCATTTCCTCTCAGGTATCCAGTGATGAATCCAGCAAGGGGAGTCCAGGTGGGTATCTAACAATTTTTCGTTCCAAAACCTTGCAAATCAGTGACCAAAGCGAAAGGATGCATTGAGCACACCAGTTGCGAAAAGTATACTGTATCTAGCTGTGGGTCAGCAGTAGTCTCCTTTTGCAGAGTAACTGGATTCACCAATTTATCAACGGGATTCCGTCCGGTAGGTGGAACTATTCTGTTCTGAAAAGCCGAGAAGCACTGCAATGCTGTTTCGTCTTTGTTCAGAATAGGCAGATTTGTATCTTAGAAAATTCTAAGGAGTTTTGAACCCAAACCTTCTGGATAGTAGTAGAAGGCTAGTAGACCGTTCGGCTGATCAGCAGTGTGATTGACTCACACTTATGAAAGACACTTGCCTCTTTTCGAGAAATACATTCATTTGCAAATCAATTCGGTTTTCATGGGAGACTCAATAGAATATCTCGCTTATGATGTCCTCCAGCTGAATTTGCTGCACACAGGCCGCCTCATGATTCAGTTGGCACGATATTCGAGATATCGCAGTATATTTTCATAAAGGAAACTACTCACAAGGTTGCTGAAAACTCTTCAACAGCCCACGACCGGTTTCGCCCTTTTTGGGGCTCATCCTTTATGAAAATATACTGCGATATCTCGAATATCGTGCCAACTGAGGCGGCCTGTGTGCAAGTGAATCTCTCGTGTATGATTGATTTTCAATGAGTGCATTTGTCGCAATCAGTCCAATTTGCTTTCAAGTAGATCATAAGGTTGACGGAAACTCGGGGACTGCGCCTACCTGATGAGCCCCAAGAAGGGCGAAACGGTCGTGGGCTGTCGAAGGGTTTTCAGCAACCTCGTGAGTAGTTTCCTTGATGAAAACATATGCCTCTTATTCTTCAAGCACAGAAGCCACATCACATGGTTGTCTACTGACTGACAGCTTAAATCTCGACTTCTCAGGTGGAAGTTGCACTCACCTTGTAGGATTGTTGTTCCTCTGAATCACTTAGTGAGTGATAACATTTGAAGGATAGGTGGTGCTACATCCTGTCGAAATGCGATTTAGTCGCAACACTGACCAGCCCTTCTTTGCCGAAAGGCTACTGGGCGGGTTGTCGCGAGTTCGAAACTCCCAAAAATTCCGTGAGATGCGCGCTGCTGATCATTTCCGGCGAAAGTGAAATAATCGTACAGAGCCTCTTGAGTTTTCAGCGTAGATTGGCTTCACTTACATGACGAACGCTTGGCTAAAAATTACATCTATTCACATAACGATTTATCAAATTGGCTCTAACCATTGAGCGAATTAACGCCCGGGTAAATCATAGGCCGCATGCCGTTTGTAACCAGATTGCCATTGGTCTACTCATGGTGCGTTTTGTCCTGTTTTGAATTCATCAAATGGATATTACAGTGTCAGTCACATTTTTTCGGGTTCAAAGTTCACACTGAACCACAACACTACGTGGCCGTCGACCTTACCTACATGTGCATATGAAGCCGTGCATGAATTCAATGGATTTTCTTGGTTTGGACCGTACGTCTAAATCCGTCCAGATCAGGCAAGCTTTGAAATGTCAGAAAACAGGCTGAATAGATGCATGCAATGAAGTTTCGCCCGCCATTATGTTCATGATAAATCTGAGAGATAAGTGAGGGTGAGCGGAGAAAAGGGTACTGTACATGGGTGATGCAGTGTGCCATGAATTTTCTCGTCAGTCCCCTCTAGCATAAAGTTCCTCGAGCAGCACTTTCGACGTATGCAGATAGAAAATTTGTCCACTGGTTCCACTAAACTGCAAGCAGTTTACACTGCAGAGTGGGGTTATAAACCCACCTTTGTTTATTCGCAATGTTGACAGCTGTACAAACTTGAGGACTACTTGCCCATATAAGTGACGTAATCCTCACCACAATAGGTGAGTGGAGACCCCAAAGCGTCTAGCACACGTAGACGCTAGATTCCGAATAGGCCTGCTTCTGAAACCTCTCTCCAGTGAACACCGGTTTTCGTCTTTAGCGTAGGTTCTCTTCAGCGATGTAGATACTTTAAATATAGAAAACGCGAAGTAAACGACCACTGAGTATTCCACAGACGGGAATTAATGACTTTCAGGGACAGCCAATAGGGAGTGGCAAGGTAACCAGCATCCCATTTATTGTGGGTATTCAACGACTTTGTTGAAACGTACGACAATATTAAGTAGACTAAAAATACAGATGGAAATGTTGTTTCCACACCGGACGATCTTTTGGGCTAGCCTACTTTAAACAAGCCTATTTTAGTCTGCAAACGGATTTCAGTGCTCAACCCCAGAGCAACTCTTTTTTGTTGTCCACTCCTGATGTTGTTGTAATTCCAGGACCTGTGACAGTACGCACTAATGGCCTTGCTAAAAAGACGGAATTTTTTATATGATTAGTACAATATTAAATGAGCTGTTCCATGGATCCTGAAATCGAAGCGTATTCGATCACCTAAAGTAAGCAAATTTATTCAAACAAGGAGTCTTTTTTCCACAAAGCGGTCATAAGAATTCAATTTATTGTGGACTAATCATGCTAGTTTCAAGATGCTAGTGAAATTCGAATTCGTGTGGTTCAGAGGTCGGATTTATTACCCTCTTTGCTAGATATGCTTTACGGTGGTAAAACTTTTGTTGTTTAGAACGCGCGGAGGAAGATGAACTGTTTGATTTGGACAGCGATTCTGGTTCCGGAAAGAATTCCAAACGCCCTAGAACGATACTCACCTCTAGTCAACGTCGACGGTTCAAATCGGTGTTTGAGATGAATCCCAAACCGGCACGTAAAGTGAGTGTTTCAGATGATATTGATTACATCCTCACCGTCATCATTACCATCTTTATCGTCATCAGTGATACCAGAAACATACTGGCTCATACCCATCTGTATGAACTCATGCCATTTTCGTCTTCTCTTTGTTTATACTGAAGCTCCGAGAGACGCTGGCCAGTGAAACGGGCCTGAATATCCGGGTTGTCCAAGTTTGGTTTCAGAACCAACGTGCAAAGGTACGTAATTGTGGCCTACATAACAGCTTTGTCAAAAACAGGCCATGCTAAAAATGATAGGTTTGGATCCTATAGTACGGCCGAAACTTCAACTTGATCGTTGCTGGTTCTTAAAAAGTATGAAGTTGCAAAGAGTCATCGATAAGTATGTCCACCAAGTAGGCCTTCGATAGTAGTGAATTTCTACTCTGTTGTTGATAGTTATCTCTGGTATGACAGCCAATCTAGACTGCAGAGGATTTGCAAAGGCCATCTGGATAGCTTGTTTCCTTGTCTTCTAGAAAGGTCAAATATAATAAATTGCAGTGTGAATGGGCCACTTACTGAGAAATGACAGAACAATAATTTTGCCCGCACTCGGTCAGGGATTTTGTCACTGAGAACCGGATTTCACAGACTTACTATTCTTGTCATAATACGCAATACTTGCACTTGATGACAGAATGGGATCTTTGTTCCCGGCGTTAACACTACCAAAATGAACTGATCAACCGCCATTCTTGAAAGCAAAAACTGTTCGGTATTCCTTTTGGCTTGTTTTTTATACGTCAGCTAATAGAACAAACGTTTTTGGTGATTAAAAGGAATTTGTCTGCTATGATTGGAAGCGAGAACATTGTGAGAATACAGAATACAGAATAACCAACCAAATTATAGGGTATCTTTCCCGAGTTAAGTGAATTTTATACTGGCACAGCGCGGAAAATTATGTAAATGCTAAAGGCTGGGGGGTATCCAGTGAGTTTGCTGAATATCCTCAAATTCAAATTCTCCAAAACAACGAATGCAACTCGGCAGCATAGAAATGTTGAAGTCAAAATATGCTCAGTTCATCAGCCAATGCAAGGTATACTCTGCACGTTTTGAGGCTTTTATCTGTAAAACACATGGCCAATGTTGAGTTATTCCTTTTAAAACACAAGGGTCTATTTCTTACAAATATTACTTGTTTGGAAGGTTCATATAAAAAGGCTTTTTTGACGTAACCGAAGAATCACAACTTATTCAAGAGGCACAAATAATCTCGGACTCTGGAGATGTGGGATTAAGTACTTTTTATGAGACATCTTCGCTATAATCTCGAGGTTTTCATTTATTGGATCTTGGGCGATAATTGTAACGATTTCCTCCTCATTGATTGGACTACCACAGTGCAAGCCTCTGCGTGATCCCTCACGTATCAAGGTCACGCTCCATAATGGGCAACTGTATCCACGGTGTTGGTCAGAGTTCCTCAAAGTGTCACCTACCACTGGATGAAACAGGCTTATTTGGTTACTGTTTGGCAGTTCATCGAGTGACTTAATGTTGCCTGAAACAGATTGAGCCTTCTGTCGACCATGTTTGAGTAACGAAGTGAACATCAAGAACTTGCCTCAGCTGCTTCACATTTTTCTTAATACCGGAAACCCGGTGTGAAATATTCTCTCGGCATAAAGAGGAACTGGCTTTCCAGAAGTTCTTGGTTGACTAGGATCACACTAAGGACACCGAACGTGATTTTGAACATCTTCATCTGACATTCACAATTTCTACCACTCTACACCGACCGTACCAAGAAAAATAAAAATGGACAGGATGGTTCTCAATGAAAATTAAACATGGTTTGGAGGAGGATTGTAAAATGAAGGATGGATACCATCACAGGGCATCAACTGGCTCTGGACGACTGGTGACGAACAGTGTGATCCGTATACATGCCGGCAATTCTGTAAACTCATAAGGCCTGGTGCAGCATATTCAGTGGCCTGAGAACATCACAAACGAGAGATTCAGCTGGGTTCTAGGTGAGTCTCTCGAAGAATCAAATTAGTTTGCAAATGCGTGAATATTCGCTAAACACACAGTAGTTCCAGAATCTGTTATGATGAAGCCACTAATGGTTAGAGCGGTTAGTGTGACAGTCCTGATGTCTATTCTTCCTTTAGCAACTAGGGCAACTTGTAGAAACGTGTGTGATGGGTTAATACGATATTACTAACCCAGACACTCCACTGCCGATTTTCTGTTCCAGATGAAAAAACTAGCACGCCGCCAAGCACAAGAATCCCTTCATCAAATGAATCGAAGAGCAAATCAGTGCCGCGTTCTTTCCCGAGAATCATCCCAATCCAACATAGGCTTTACTTGCGAGGTAGCAGCGTCACCGACTGTGTCAGCTCAAGGTAACTAATAGTTTCTTTGCGAATCTGTGATGAGCTTCCTGAGCATATGAGTACATTGACCAACATACCTACGAGACAGGAAGTAATGCACACAAGATGAACTTTTGTCAAGCTGTCTTGTCTTTGCTGTGAGCAACTGTTTGTTTAGTCCCATTGTTGCTTGTTTTTCCAAGTGTAACCAGGGTAACCATACATGACGTACCACTGAGAAAAGTAATCCGGTCGAAGTTTTGTGGTACAAGAAGTTGGGTAAAGGACAGTCTGATTTTGTCCGCCGACGAACACCTCGCAGTGCGATAAAAAATAATAAGTGACTAGGGAAGGGCTCTGAGTTCGGGGAATATACGACCTGTCACTTCACCGTGTGTACGACTCCTGCATGGTATTCTCCGCTTCTCTTGCAGACCACGTTTCATCCCGTGCACTTGTAGCAGAGCGACAGTCGCCATTGCTTCAAGTTCCAGAAGAAGAGAAGGAATTACGAAGACAATTCCTTGATGTTTCAAGTTATATTGTTTCTTCAGAGCGGACAGACCAAGAGAGAACCAAGGTTGGATCCTCAACCTCATCATCAAGAATATCGCCGGAAATCGTGCGTGAGGCAGCTCTGGCCCCGGCCGCTCAAACTTCAACGACTGACCATACCTCGCATGTTTTCCCGTGCAATTCCCCTTTTGTGAATTTTATCCCCTCTTCATCTAGTTCCCTCTATACCTACAAGGTGCAAGAAAATAATGAACCGTCTATCCATCTTTCTCCGGCTTCTATACCATCCACTCCCGCACGTAATGGAAGACTCGGTTTAATTCCGTCGTTTCCAGGACTTCTGAAGCCCTTTGCCCCAGGATCTTCCTCACAGAATCCAGCCTCAGCAGGAGCTCCTATGGACAAGCTTTTTTCAATGCAGCAATCTTATTTTCTGTCCTGATCAACCAGATATACATTTTTAGGCAAACCAAATTTGTTGGGTCCTGTAATTCAGTCATTTCTTTTGCAGTCAGTTTGGAACCCAACGTTTTCGTAGTACAAATGTGTTCATTCACCTCCAATTTCTGCAGTTTTTATCAACTATACAAAGGTAGGGAGATAACAGGTGTTTAGCAATGCAGTTAATGTGCTGCCTGCGGCGGATAAGTCAGAATTCAAGTTGAATAGATTAGAAAAGTTGGGTTATGTTCAACAAAAGGATACTGGTGAAAATTTGGGGATAGGTTAGTGGTTGAAGCTGAACCAGTTTGTCCTGTGACATCAGTCAAACCCACCATGTTCTTTTTTATGGTCCTAATCTAGGAGGAACCTTAGTCTCTCTGCAAGAAATGCAGCGCTTTTTATGTCAGTTACAGAAAGAGAATATTTAAATTCAACCAGTGAAACTGTCCTAAAATAACTTTGCTTCAACAGCTCATGCGGCAGAAGAAGTTGGTTAAGGCATGCTCTATTTTGATGTCGTCTCGCACCCAACGTATATTATATGGCTTTTCTATCAGCATTACAAAATAGAGACAGATTGCCATCAGGGAATGTCGAGTCCACCCTTAATGCTGGTATTAAAGGCAGCTTACTTCCAAGTTCGTTTGGAACGCGCATCCGGCTGCTTAAAGTCTAGGCCCTAGGCCTATGTCCTATTTGCCATGTCACCAGAAGGAAGCCCGAGAGCTGAGATACTGCCAGGTTGTCTAAGCTTGGACAGGGGAAGTCGAGAGACAGAGAACTGGTTCGAACGACGGACTTTCCGGTCAGCGAATTTGCACTCTAACCACTGAGCCATCTCGCCCCCACTCCATAATAATGATAGTAATGATAATGATATAATTTTACCCAAAAACAACTTCTGTCAAGAAGAGCCCATAGAGTTTTCTGTGAGTCTCGCAGAAGGTCATCCTCCAAATCTAACCTGATAATACTAAATTCAAAACTTCTAGGGACTTCTTGCTACACCCAGTCGCAAGTAGCATCTTACGGGTTGTATTGTACATTGGATCGATCCTTCATCGATTGACTGCGGATTCATGGTGTGCTGTTGCAAAAGCACGGTGCATGTACAGAGATTCGAGTGAGTACAGCTTGTTTATCCAAGTTTCCAATCAAGATGGGTAGTCATCCTCCATTCAACAACATTTGCTAACCAGTGTAGAAGACCTCAACTTAAGTGCATCCAGCGACGACGTCTTGATACCGCTGAGATAATTTTCACTATGGAGTTTTCAAGATTAGATTTGTGCTGTATGAGGTAGTTGGGAAGATAAGGCAAGGTTGACTTCTTTAAGACACTTTAAATAGAGATATCACACAATAAGGAAAATTCTAGTGACCCCGGGAATCCCGTTTTGGGAAGAGATCTTTCGCGCCGTTTACTTTATTCACAGAGCGATTATATCATTGCATGGACACACTTAACCAGCCGGAAATGGAGTGTTACAATTAAGATCAACTTCACCTCTGAATGAATTTTATCACAACTGAGAGATCAACAGCATCATTCTTCTGACGAGACCGTACAGTCCTGATAGATCCTGCATAGTAAAAATTCCTTGAAGTGTTGAATTGATCGTCCTAGCGTTGTTGATATTTTGCCTTACGAGACACTTAAGTTACTGACGACTTCACTGATTTTCATGTTACATGGATGTTTAGGGGAAACCCACCTGAATTCCAGTTAGATCCCTCGCTTGTGTTTTTCTTCAGCTGACTTTGTTGCACAACCTTGTATGTGACTCACCAAGGGGAAAAGACAATTGAATGTCTAAAATAGAAAGCGCTGATCAACACTATTCATGGATATTTCCGAGAGCAAGCGATGTGAATTAAGCTTTTGGGTGCATCGAGCTAGGCGTACCAAATCGATCGTTAATTTCATGTCACAGATCGGAAAATATCAAGTGTCTGACAGTGTTTGGTTTCATATAAGTCTTCAGAAAAGTCACTCAGCATTTTTCAGCATTTCCTAGATGCACGTGAGTAAATCCATTGTTGAAAATCCTTGGTTCTCTTATTCTTTAGTGGTTTACTGTTGAAAATTGCCTTCGGTTTTGGCTACCCATGATCATGCGATAAGCAAGGACCCATAAGAAATTTGATGCAGAAAGCACGAATCTACATATTTTCGTTTCATTTTTTCAAAAGCTAAGAGCCAAAATCCATCCTGCCAGTCACATTTTACTGAGTTGTCAGCTCTGATGATTTGTTCCTATTTCTAACTTCCGCGACACACCATTTACTTGAATTATTCATAATTTGTGAGCACATTCTTTGGTTGTATCGTGTCGAATTGCTTTCCCTGTTGCGTAATACACCTATTGGCAGGCAGTGACGGACATCCGACAGTTTTCCAACTTAGATTTAGTTGGTTCAAAGTGATCGACAAGATGTATCATGTGTTCACCCCCTCCAACCTCAAAAGCATTTCCTTCTGAACTCGACGGGTGTCCACTCAACCGATTGACAAGAATTTGAAGCAAACTTCAAGAATTAATTAATGAAGAGTCAAAACACGTTGGATGAAAATGGCTTCCTGTGGTTCCTATCAATAAAAGACCCCTATGTACTGTGGGACCAGAAGGTTTAACCAATAATTCAGAGAGGATGAAAGATAATTTGTGAACTCTCAAAGTCAAGAACCGGTTTAGCCTCATGAAGTTTTCTAACCTGAGCGCCAATAGATATAGTCCACTTTACTCAATGTTTTTGGGCCACGTGCTCCCCCGGACAGCAGCAACATTTTTGATGTGAGTAGTTTGGTAGGCACCAAACAACAAACATAAACGTTTGATGGATTTGAAGCAGGCCTAAACCACCAAAGACGAGGTCCACTGGTGTCTCCGTGGAACAAGTAGCTGACAAACCTTATATAAAGTGACGATACCATATAACATTATCAAATTATCAACTCAGTTGCCAGTTCAATCATTAATTAATTCAATTTTTGTTGAATTATCAAAACAATTAACTGATTTATTAATTTGTGTGAAGATTTCACATAACCTGTCTGAACTGAGGATAAACAGGATGTTTTTGACATCGACTTTCGGCTCCACCAATAAGAAAATTAATCATCCGCCCATAGCTGATGGTTGCAGAACTTGATATAACTACCTACACTGGGTATAAGCGCAAAAGCGTTTGAGAAAGTATGCAAACTGAACTGAATGCCAGGTTCATCGGTAAAGAAGGAACATTATTACTCAGACCCCTGTTTGTTCTCCAACGAGGATGAAGTTCGATGATACTCTTAACATAGTAGTACATCTCCATACGGGATTCTCATGAAGTAGTAGAAAGTCGGATTAATAAATTGACCCCAGATCACACTTTTCATTACATTTTTAAGTTTCCAAACACAACAACTGACAACAACCGACAACTGAAAAGAAGTGATGTTTCTGTATCCTCACGAAACTCTCGAATTTAAGACATCCAAGTAAACTGGCAGCTAAATTCATAAATGACTGAAGGCTGTTCTAAGGGGGGTTTAGAATACGTTGAAAAACGTCCAAAGCGATAGCTGGTCGTAGGAGATCAGCTCAGTGCATAAATTTTGAGTAAACTCTCCTCAAGAAAGCACATTCTGCGACTTTTGTTTGGTCCTGGCAGATATTGTCTACGTGGGATGGGAATCAATACGTTTAAAATAAGAATAGTTATAAATACCCTCGACATCTCGCAAAACGTCACAGGAATTTCGAAACGTACTTTGGAAATCAAAAGACTAACGAAGGAATCTAATGAATCGTATTATTGTTCATCAGTTTGGGTCTGACATGTGACCTGACGGGTAGCTGCGGCGTGGACAACCCTAAGTGGTTGAGAATGTACTCCATTTTCTACGCGAAGATAGACCCTGTTCCCAAAAGACCTTATACGAACTATGGTTCTTAAAGGGCAAGTTATGCACCTCCGCTATTCTGTTTTCGAGCCTCATAACCCCCCGATGTAGCCACCGAATCTGGCAATACTTACCACAGAAACAAACAATATTTCCGTTTTGGCCATAGTGAACATAAAGCAAGAAGACTGACATTAGAAGTGAAGGTGCTGACTGAAATGGATACCAGCTTTGGTCAACGTATCTTTGAATGAGCACCCGGAAGGTTCGAAATTTGGATCAGGTAACCACACCTAGATAAAGGGTAATCACAAAACCCACAACAAATAAACCGTGTGGAGTCCCCAAGAATTTATTGTAATCATTGCAAAGGGTGAAACAACATAGGCTCTCGTTTTCGAAAAAGTTTGGTGACAATCGGTAGATTTATTGCTGGGCATTTTCCACGTGATTGAACATAGGCTCTGTGCTGATTGGCATCTGTTATTTGACATTTTGATGTATTGAACGATCTCCCTTTTTTGGGGAAAAGACTGTTTTGTTTCGCATCTGCAGCTAATTTTACGTGGGATCCTGGAGGATAGTGCATAATGTCCTCCAGATTTACCCTACACTAAACTGCTCACTTTTTCTCACTTCTTGGTATTGGCTAGCTTAGAGGCTTATGTCAGTGTAGCCTTTTATGGATTGTCATGCTAAGATTAGCTGTGTGCATATTGACAGGGGTTTGCTTTTCAGAGTACTGGGAGCGATACTATAAAACAAATATCCTTTGGAAGCCACGTGAAAATAGAACATCTCTTCACTTTGACGTAAGCCACTACTTATAGGGTCACTGAAAACTCTCCGGCAGCTCACGAGTGGTCTTGTCCTGCTTGAGGATCATCATGAAGACGCAGTCTTCCGAAATTCCGTCAACCTTATGTTCTGCTTCAACTCAGCTTGAACGAAACTTGACTTATACACTCACTTGCCTACAGATTTGATTTTGACAAGACATTCAGCTGGAATCCAACTTAATCTCTCGTCTAAACTGTTATACGTAAAACCTGCGTGCTTGAAATACGCCTACCGCTCAAGCTTATTTCGTAGCAGTGAGCAAAAAA